ACTTTCCACTGAGCTCCACGTCGGTCTAAAAACACTTGGAACTTCACCAAGGAGAAAGCAACATTCCCAGGATTTTACCAGATGTATTTATAGTACGCACTTTTGAGGAATGCTGTTCCTGCAGCATTTGCATGCTTCTGTGTAATGAGAAAGAGAATTTAGTTGGTGGAGACTAAACAAGGTTACACCCGCAACTGTGGATAGGCCAAGAATTCCCTACAGGCATCAGCCAAGGGCTTCCAGCTCTATTCCAGCCACATCCATTTTCTTTCAGAGGCTTTATGCTATTCACACACACACACACACACACACACACACACACACACACACACACAAATCCTACTGTGTCTCACCTGGTACAGACAAAGAACCCATATAGGGGATTCAATTTTATCCTTCTTCAAAAATATTTTTAAGCTCAAATCCTATAATTCTGATTCAGATAATATATTTAAAACCAACTCCTTTAAAGAGCAACACCTGTAGAAATTCTAATACTGAAATATACAGTATTTAAATAATTATATCAAAATATATATTTGCTAACTGTAACTCCCCTTTCTGAGTGTTTCTGTTTTGTCTTAGGGGTAGATTTCAAATGTGAGAATTTGACAAATACATTTCATTAAGAATTATCTAGAGTGGGCCGAGTGTGGTGGCGCAAGCTATAATCCCAGCACTAAGAAGACCGAGGTAGGAGGATTGCTGTGAGTTTGAGGCCAATCTGGGCTGCATAGTGAGTTCAAAGTCAGCCTCAACCACATAGTGAGACCCTGTCTCAGGAAAAAAAATCATCTAGAGTGATCATAGGGTCAGTGAGTAATTTTTATTTCTCTTTTGTGATAAAGAATAGAATTTGTTTATCTCAAAGTTCCTTTGGCCTCTTAGTATCAAGTGCCCCTCCTACCCCAGCCACCATAAACCACATTTTGTCCTGTAAGGCAGGACTCTGGTCTGGAGTTCAAGGCCTCTCACACTGTCACTGTCTAGGAGCTGTTGAAATTGGAGAGAGCTGGATCAGCGCTGTGGGGAGACAGAGGCACCCACAGGGAAAGGCTGCCCTCACGCTGCCAAACCCGCTCCTGAAGCAGCAGACCATCCTGGGCGCGCAGGCTCTCCCCAGATCAGCATCTTGTTTCACACACACTTACCTTGCCCTTCTATCCACTCACTTTTTCATGTCTAGCCCTTCTACGAGGGCCCTCCTCCTTCCAAGGTCTCCCAGTTGCTGTCTGAAGACAAACTTCCTGACACGTGAGTCTCCAAAATATCATTCAAGAAACAAAACAGGCCAGACTCCTCCTTGCTCAGGCATTGTGGCTCTCTGTAATCCCGCTTCTCTGCTTCTCTGCTTGTGGGAAGGCGCTGAACTGGTCGAATGCTGATCTCCTACCCTCTGCTTGTCCTCTGCTAAGCTGCATGCTCCATCTAGAGTACCCTCCCTGCACTTCTGACTGCATGTAGTATCTGTAGTATATGAATGAATTTAAGACCTATTTTCAAGGCACAGCTCAAAATTTAGATTATATACAAATCCTTCCCTGACTACCACAGTATGAAACTAGAACTCCATCTTTTGAATTGTAAGCATCATTTATATGGGCAATAAGTATACTTAGTACCTACAGTGGGGTAGGTATCAGCTCAACCCAGGTTAGACACTGTTAGATACCATAAAGAAAAAAAGAATCCTTAAGCCTTCAGAGAACCCAGAGTCCAATGAGAAGGGTTAAAGATGGTGTGGAATGAGTAATAGTACGAATGCTCGGATGTTTTTAATGTTTTCTAGTGATTTTAAGCATGGATTGAGCGCTCATTAGGCAGGAGCCAGCCCTCATTGTTTATGAGTCCTAAGTTAAACCCAGTGGGTCATTCTACAAGGAAAAGAAGGACCCTGAAGTTAGGTTGGTTTCACATGGTTATCTGGATAAGCAGAGACTGGGCGCGAACTCAGCTAGGTCTGGCCCCTTCCACCATCAACCCTACTTCCCAGTAAGGAGGGATACCAAATGTTATGCGAACATATAGTTAGACCAGGAAGTGGAAGAAGTACTCAGGGAGATCCTGAGCACTCAGGAACATCACAAGGGATCTTCATGGAGTGGTGAATGATTGAGAAAGACCAGCACTCATGTATATGTTGAACAAAAGCAGTAGATTGGGTTAGACTATGAAGTACTTTGCGCTCAGTCCTAAAGATTGCAGAGGAGCTTCAGTGCTTACGTCCTGTGTTCCCATCAAGGCAGCTCCTCTGGGGATGGAGTTCAGTGATACAGTGCTTGCCTGGCATGCACGAAGCCCTAGGTTTGATCCCCTGCACCATAAAGAAAAAATCCTTGACCTTAAATTAAGAGTAGGCACCACAGCCCCCTTCTGATTCTCACGTACCAAGAATGTACTCAGCACAGCTGGTGAAAACCCATGGGCTTTTCTGGGTTATCTAGCTTTGTGTTTCCATGGTCCCACCAAGTTACATGAATATGAGTATTTTTTTTCTAACAAGGCTTGAAGCCTCAGAATCCAGTGGCTATTTCAAACCAAAAGTAGGTCATCATAGCAGCCATCAGTACTTAAGGGGCCACCTCTCCTATTATCAAAGTCCTTGCCACTACCAGACCTTTTCATTACCTGGGGTCATGCATATCACAAAGCATCTGAAGATCATAATAGTAACGTTGAAGATCATCATAATAGTAACACTTAAAACGTACAAGGCATTGTGTGCATTTTCCCATTTAACCCTAAGAACAGTAAGAATTAGGTTCTTTTATGCTTACTTAACTAATAAAGAAATAGAAGCTTAGGATGTAAGGTTTCATTGGGAATGCAGGTCTCCAGTTCCAATGCTATGCTCTTAACTGCTTACTTATGATCCCCACCAGGCAGAGATTAAGAAACTCTTGTCAGGACCAAAGGAAGGAGTTGCTAAGATCTTGAGGAAAACATGTCTAGCTCTATCTTGCTGCCCACATCAAACTTCCATGCAACAAATCGAGAATTATTTAACCAAATTATGACCAAAGAAGCATGTCTGCAGGATCAGACTCTGGACTTCCAGTGCCCAAAGAGTATCAGAGTTCCTCAGCCTCTTCCAAGGAACAGCTTGTCAAAACACCCAGTTTCTACTTTTCTACCTCCTTCCTCACCACACTAATTTCCATTTATTTTTTTTAATTCCATTTATTCGGATCTCTAAGATTCTGTGTCAGGCACTGTTCTAAGAGCTGGCAATACAATGGATAACACAAAGGTTAAGATCTCAGGTATCTTAAAGTTTAACATCTGCCAAAGCCTGGTGTAATGGCACATACCTGTAATCTCAGCACTCAGGAGGCTGAGGCAGGAGTATCACAGTGTTTGAGGCCAGCGTGGGCTATTAGTGAATTCTATTAGTGAGTTCAAGATCAACCTAAACTACATAGCAAGAGCCTGTCTCAAAAAAAAAATAAAACCCAAAATTTTAAAAGTCTCATATCTTTCAAAGGTGACAGACAAGATGTTTTCCAGTGTTACAAATAACAGAGATGGTGGTGGGGTGAAAGTCCTTCCTAGGGAAGGGATATTTGAAGTCATAGTCAGATAAGAAGCCAGACTGCAAAACACAAGGATCCATCTTGTACTTGGTAGGTTGAAGAGAACATTAATGATCACCTAGCCTCTACTTCTAGTTGAACATGAACAAATAGAGGCTCAGTGAGATAGATAAAAGACCGGGACAAGCTCTTCCACTGACTGCGTTGATGTTTCTTCCTATGATTCTGCAAGGCCTTTGGATCTACACAGTTGAAATGTAAGCATTTTACATTTGTGCTTTTAATCGCCTCATACATATTCATATTTATCATCTTATTTTCAAAACCCCAGGGGAAAGAGGACAGGCTTTCCGTCTGACAGATGACAAAACTGAGGCTCCAGCTGGCTAAGCAACTTACCTAATGGCTTGTTACCAACAACTGAATTAAACCCTGGTTGTTTGTATTCCAGAACTGTGCTCTTTTCCCTAAATGAGAAGAAGCTGTCTGGCCAGTAGTCTGTGAATATCAGACATTATTGTTAACTACTTCCTATTTTATGGTGCAGAGAACATAAAAAAGTCAAAGATAAAAACAATTTACCTAGCCATAACCCACAAAGTCCCTGAGTTCTTTGTGTAGGAAAGAATATGTGAGTCCACATGACTGGACAACCACGACCTGAGGTGACCAGGGCCCTGTGACTTCTGGATACAGGGCAGAGGAACTCAGGGCCGTACTGCAGGGATTTTAGAAAACGAGGAGCAGTTTCTCTTGCATAGCTGAAGCCAACCCCAGCCCAGAGTCTTCACAGCTGGGATCCCTGAGGTAAATATCATACTTAAGTCCCTTGATTGGTCTGCCCAGGGAATTAGTTACTAGAGGTTCCCAAACCTGCCAGTACATCTGAATCAGCTGGGAGAACTTCAAAGTAACAAGCGTTTTCAGATTCACACACCACCCAGAGATTTAGAAACTTCTAAAGGTAGAGCCTGGGGCCCTATGTTCTAAAATTCAGCCAGCCTAGCAAGCCATTGGTTTTTCCTCACTTCTTAGTGCTGCGTAACACCGAAAGGGGAGATGCTCGGTTTCACTACCCAGGGGCAAGGTTGCTGGGTGATTGCTAGAGAAGACGGTCTCCTCCGATACCCAAAGCTCCTGCAGTACGAAGTCACTGCAGAACATTCCAGGGGGCTGTGAAATCTGTTGTCTCCCTCCCTTGGCTGCACATCCAACCCTGGGAAACTTTTTCTGAGATCAGTCTTCCAATCCTTTTGTGCAGCAGAGCCGAAAAACCTCTCCAACAGCAAGTCTCACTGTGCGGGGAACCCCACCCTCCCTAACCCCAGCCACCACCGAAGGGCCCAGCTGGAGCCTTCTGCACAGGCCTCTCTCCTGCCTGCTACTCTCTCAGCGAGGAAACAAAGAAGATGGTTCAGGCCCAGGCGGCCCAGCACCCTCAGGCAGGGGCCACGAGCCAGTTCTTACCTGGAAGGAAGCAGAGCTGCTGTCACTGGGGAGCTCTCTTTGCTAGGAGCTCTAGTCTTGGAACTCACTGGACTTTGATCAAAGATTGATTTAAAAGCTGATGTGTTTAACAGGGATGTGTGGTCTGAGTTCAACTGACCTCTGTCCTGCTTCCAGCCAGCTGGCTGGGCCCTAAACCGGGAAATCAGAAAAACCTTCAGCAGCCCCAGCTCTCTGGCCCACCTACCAGACAATTCCAGGCTGTCCTGTCTGGTTTCTTCTTGTCTGCAATTCCCAGACAATGAGGAGGGGCAGGCAGAGGAGGGAATGGACAGGCCAGGAGGAGGTGCCTCTACCTTCCTTGTTTGCTCCCTCAGGCAGATGCTTTGGTCACACCCAACCAACCCCCAGCCTTCGAGGAGCCTCCCCATCCTTGGGTCAGGGCCAAGGGTCATCAGCAGAGCCACCTACCTACTAAGACCTTCCTGGGGGGCAGAAACCAATGGGCGATACACCTGGACACAGGGCAACGCCCCTCTGCTCCTGCAGCCTTTGTGCCTTTGCCCTAGGAGTTCTCACTGGCACCCTCCCTGCCCCGAAGCAAAACCCAGGTTCTAGTTGCCCACACGCCCTTCTCTCCACGCACTCCCCTCACCACTTTTGTTTTTCTCTTCCACCCTGCGCAGTTTCTATTCTCTACCCTCTGATAAATGTTAGGAACCCCTCAGTAGCCTAGCAGGGGGTGAAAGGCGCCGGTGCAGCCCCTCACCAGCCAGGAGGAGCAGCCAATCTCTGTGGGCCACGCAGGCCCACACAGATCCTTCCAGCACCAGCCTCTCCCTCACCTGGACCTACAGCCCACACCCAGACTGGGGCAAGAGCTTGCTCCAGGCAGTGAGGCAAGAGAACCACGGGCCAAGAGGGTGGACTCGCCCTTCCTGCACCCATGCAGCAGGGGCCACTTCTCCGGGCTTTGGCTTTGCCCCCAGTGCAGGCCTGACCTGAGCCAGTGCCCACTGGGTCTAAGCTGACAGACATCTGAACAGCTTCTGTAGAGGGAACAAGGTCCTCTTCTACCTTGAGGCGATGCCCTGGCCTCTCCACCTCTTGCATATTCCTAAAGGTTGAGTGGGAAAATCTAGATTTAATATCAGAACACTTAAATTCAAATTCCAAATCTGACACTTCCCAGATGTTTGATCTAAATTAATTCCTTTTTAAATCCTGCATGTGTGTGTGTGTGTGTGTGTGTGTGGGATTGAACCTAGGGCTTCAAACATACCAGGCAAATTCTTTACCACTGAGCTACACCCCTGTCTTCATTTTTAACTCTTTGAGTAACCTCATCACCTATAAATAGCAATTGTTTTTAGAAATTTCTGCTTTATTTTTTTTTTAATTTATTTTTTTCTTGTTTTTGTTTTTTTCCTGTACCGGGAATCGAACTCATGACCTTGCACTTGCCAGGCAGGTGTTGTGCCACTGAACTAAATCCCCAGCCTCAATTTCTGCTTTATATTGAGTCAAAATATCCCTTACATTTTCCTTCTGATGATTGTTTGTTCTGCAAAGTAACTGTTCAAGTATTTAAAGGCTTCTATATCCCATAAACTCTTTTAGGATTCAGTGAGTGTCCCTCATTTAGTAGGGCCTCACCTCTGCCATGACTTCAAGACTTGTCACTGGGGACTCCAGCTGATTTGTCAAATCAATAAATAAAATCAGTACCTAAAGAGGAAACTTTTAAAGATAAATTAGTCAGTGTCTTTCGTATGGGGTTGGCTACACAACTGTCTAAGTTACCAAAATTCATTAAATTATACATCTAAAGTAGATGAATTATATTGCATGTTAATAATTCTTTTTTGAGCCAGGCATAGGGGCACATGCCTGTAATCCTAGCACTTGGGAGGCTGAGGCAGGACAGTTGTTGCAAGTTCGAAGCCAGCCTGGGCTACAAAGTAAGTTTAACACCAGCCTGAATTGCATGGTAAGACCTAGTCTCAAAAGAACAAAAATAAATTAATTAATTAATTAAAATTCTTTATTTTTTTTTTATTGGTACTGGGATTAAACCCAGGGGTTGTCTACCACTGAGCTAATCCCCAGCCCAGTTTATTTACTTATTAGAGATAGTGTCTCACTAAATTGCTCAGATTAGCCTAGAATTTGTAATCTTCCTGCCTCTGCCTCCTAAGTACTGTAACTAGGATTATAGGTTTCCAGTTGAATACCTTCATTTTTAAAGAAAGGACTCTAAGTCAGTGAAATTTGTTCTTGAAGCTTCTAAAAAAAAACAAATACAGCCCTCACAATGGAGCTTGTACTCAGCCCCCAGTCAAGTAGCTTCTCAGACCCGCCCTTCCGTGACAAGCACAGATGGAACAGAGCCACAGACTTTGCACAGGGACTCAGAGGGGCCTGAGACGCATCGTCAGCGCTGGTCACAACTGAGAAGGAGCACTACTTTTAAATGACATGACCCTTTCCCAGTAGAATGCTGAGGGGGATGAGACTTGCCCCCACTAAGATTTGAATTTTTAAAAATCGTATCTCTAGAAGCACACCTGATCTGATTAATGCAAAAAGTCTCTTATTGATTGTATGGATTTTTCTTTTCTGGCTTTTTTCCGGTACTGGGAATCAAACTCACGACCTTGCGCTTGCCAGGCAAGCACTGTGCCACTGAGCTAAATCCCCAGCCCCTGATTGAATGGATTTAGAGATTCATGAGCAGGGAAAATTACATTATCTCTTATGTGCTGATAAGACTTACATTGTTCTGTTTACCTCTCTTCCTGACCATATTAGGTCATTGATACCCATTTCACGCATAAGAACAGAGCTGAGATTCATCTGGTTAATTACCCTGCCCAAGATCACCTAAGCCAGGGCTCTAGCCTGCCTGTCTCCTCAGGTGGCACTGTCTGCCTCTACAATGAGGCTTCCTGCCACCCCCGGAAGAAATGTGCTCTCCTTCACTGGATGTATTCAAGTAGAAGCTGATAACATCTGTGAACTGTGTTCCAGAGAAATGGCCCACACTGCAGGGAGACTGGAGTGGGCAATTTCTTGGGTCCCTTCCAAGTCCAAACTCTGTGGTTCTAACTGCTGTGGGCACACAGGCAACTTCCCCTTGAGGGTGTGCGGTGGAAACCCTCAAGCTTTGTGGAAGGCACGCAGATAGGAGAGTGGGCTTTAATACCAAACACAGGCATACCGAACCGTACATCTGCGTTAATGTCTTTATATTTTTTCACTGTGGGCTTGTCTGTCTGCTCTATGAATCGAATGTTTGGCATCCCGGACAGAGGATTTTTGTGGTTTTTTTGGTGTTTTTTTTTTTTTTTTTTTTTTTGGTTTTTCTCCGGTACCGGGAACCGAACTCACGACCTTGTGCTTGCCAGGCAGGCGCTTTGCCACTGAGCTAAATCCCCAGCCCCCAGAGGATTTTCTTTTGCTTTTGTCAGGAATCTCCTTTCCATGCTCCTGGAGGGGTGAGGAAAGGCACCTGGTACCACTTTCTGTTCTTAGTTGCCTTGTTTCTGCATTGTGTAAATAATTAATATCAGCTACAGCCATGGCACCCCTCCCCAGGTAGATTGTGGCTACAAATTGCAGGTAATTATAATTATTTTTTTCCTTCTCAGAGTCTAGGCCAAGAGAGCCATTTCCTTTTCTCCCTGATCCCTTGTTCCCTGTTCTGTTTTTCCAATAAATGTATCCTCTTTTTGTACACTTACATATCGTGTTTCTTATTTTCTGTCTCTCCTCTACCAGGGTACGGATTCCCCAAGGGTAGGGATTTGTATTTTTGCCACTGTGTCCCAAGCGCCTAGAACATAAGCCTACCATACAGTACGATTTCCAAAAGTGTGAGTGAATGAATAAATGGATAGGTGGGTGGATCTGTGAATCCCCTGCCAGCAGCACAGAATTTTCGCCCACACTTCTATCAAGAACACTGGAGAGGTTTGAGGGTTTCAGACCCCTGCAGGGTCAAAGTTCCCGGGTCTTATCACCCATCCCAAAGGGACCCTAAGAGGCAGAAACTCTGCTTAGTTACTGGGTTTCATCTTCCTCTTCATTTCTGGAACTTAGAGGTTTCTTTTCCTTCCTTCAGAGTTCAGCCATTTATCTGAAAAAATGTTTATCTTACCCAGTATTCCTATGAACTTAAAAGAAGGGTTTGAGAGCCAGAAATGGTGCTACCGCTTAGTAGCTGTTCTTCTTCTCAAAGATCCAGTTTTCTCATCTGTAAAATACAGATCATGCTGACAAACTCGGGATGGTTCAGGGACTTACGACTTTCGTGCCATGCCCAGGCCTGACAAATGCTCAGTACATAATAATATTATTATTTTTGCCAAAGTAACTCTTCTTGATTTCTGAGCACACATTGTACCAACAGGCTTGTGAGAATAAATGGGCCAGAAGTACACCGTGGGCAACTGCAGACTTTAAACCCTTGGGGAACCTTATGGGTGGTGTTCTTGCCTACTCACATCGCAGCATCTGTGCATCTGGGCAGAAGAAGTAAGCTACCCCCGGCCCTTTTCCCACTGTGTCACCGTAGAAAGTTGATAAATAGCTGTATATGTTCCTAGGGTAAAGCACATGAATCTTTGCAAGGCTGGAGCAACCTACCTATGGCCACTCCCAGGCTTTGCCCAGACTTCCTGATTTACTCTGAGGGATCAATATTTTGGCATACTAGTAGAAAAGTACAAAACATCATTGAACGCAACTAAAGAAAACCTATCTAAGTGGCTATAGTGGCATATTCATGAATTTAAAAACTCAACAATGTGAAGACGCAATTCTCCCCCAACTGGTCTACAGATTTCCAGTGAAATGTATTTCCAGTGAAATTCATCTCAGGATTTGCACAGTTTTTGTTTTTGTTTTGTTTTGTTTTGTTTTGAGACAGGGTCTCGCTATGCAGTTCAGGCTGGCCTTGAGCTCACGTTGTAGCCCAACCTGGTCTCAAACTCACAATGATCCTCCTGCCTCAGCCTCTCGAGTGCTGGGATTACAGGCGTGCACCACCACGCTCGGCCTGCACGTTTATTTTTAAATTGTTTTTTAGTGGAACTTGATAAGCTCCTTTGAAAAAGAGAATAA